GTTTATTCATACACGAAAACCTTTTTTAACATAAGGAAATGAATCATGATGAATGCCAGCAAGATGGCAGAATAGACATCCCCACAGTTCCCTTCAGAGAATCACACAGATGAATCAAAATGCGACTATGAGGAGCCAGAGTGGTAGTACAGCAGGGAGGGTACTTGCCTTGTACACAGCCTACCCAACCTCCAGTGCACGTATGGCCCCCGAGCCTGCCAGGAGTGATCCTTGAGTACAGAGCCACGAGTAAACCCTGAACACTACTGTATGTGGCCCACAACAAAAACAAAGCCTGCTATGAGTTCTCTAGAAACCAGCTAAAGGGCCAGAGAGATGCTGTAAAGGCTGTGCATGCGGCTGACTCTGGTCGGACCCTAAGCACCACATATGTGGTTCACTGAGCATCACCAGGAGGGATCCCTGAGCACAGAGCCAGGAAGGTGCCCTAAGCACAGGCAGGTGTGGCATAGCCTAGCCCCCCACCTCAAAAAGAAAAAAAAAAAGGAAAAGAAAAATCACCCCACGCCATGTAATCTCATCAATGGCCAAGACCCAGGACTATAAACTAAAGCTCCTAGAAGAGAGCGCCGCAGAATTTCCTGGAGCTCTCACACTCTATCTCACTTACTTATCAAAAGTAGCACACATCTGTTTGGTTTTAACACACTTGCTTGTATTCTCTCACATTAGGGCTTCAATGGCTCCAGAATGAGATACAACAACCTTCACACACTTCCCTCTTATTGTGGTGGGAAGGTGCTTGGTGGTGGGATTGGTGTTTGAGTATTATCTGTAATGAACTACTGTAAAATACTTTTATAATAATGAAATATATATAAAAAAGGAAAAGAAAATCAGAAACCAGTTAAGAAGCTCTTTTACCAAAGGCAACTGTGAAGCTGAGAACAAAAGTGCCACCAAAGTGAGTGGAGTCCAGTTGTTTTACCCAGACTGCCATTTCCAGAGAGAGTGTAAGGATTTAGGGGAAAAGAGATGGTGTGCTGCATTTACTGCACCCAAGAGTTTAGTGGGGTTGCCCGAAGGACCAGCATCTGTCTAACCACCAAAAGAACGCACATCATTTGGATCCTACATGACACTGAGAATAGAGGATGGAAAGCTGCAGAATGACAGGCTGGTGACAAGGCAGAAAGGAGGCAGCACACTCGGTGGGAACTTGGTGGGAGCCACAAGTTCAGGGTCTTTTCTCTAGAATAGCAGGGAAAGGCATGGAATGAGCATTTGGCCATCAGGACCTTTGGAGACCTGCCCAAGGAACTGGTATTCTTGCCAGCTGCAGGTAGCAGATGGGGAGCTGGCCGACTCTGAGTCGTCAGGGTCCACCAAGAACCAGAGAAAGAGGTTTGTTGCAACAGCCCGAGTGAGCCTGCAATACTGCAGAGAGACACCAGAGGGAGCAAGTGTGGCAATCAACTAGCCCTTCTAGGAAAAAGCTATCCAGTCTACACAAAAGGTTTCAGGTGTTAAGAATCTCTAGCTCAACTGCTGTAAAGATTCCCACCCCACCCCCATTTAGGAAGTCACTTCACAAAGACGGAGGGATATGGTTTACCCAAAAGCATAAAGAGGCAAACAGTCCAAAAGGTCAAAATACATTCCCTAAAAAAAACAAAGAGTTGAAAATGATTATTTTGAGCAGCTCAATAACGTGAGAACAAAGAAAACAAAGGGGAAAAAAATCAAACCATTAATATAAACAAATAAGAAAATATGAACGAAAAGGGCCCAGAGAGAATACAGCAGCAGACTGGAGTTCGATCCCTGGAATCCCAACGCTACCCTGAGCCCCACCAGAAGCGATTTTTGAGTGCCCAGCCAGGAGTAACCCCTGAGGTTTGTCGTGTAGGTCCCCCACCAAAATAGTAAGATTATCAACGAAAAAATAAAATTTTTATTCTTAATAATATATATTTTTGGGGGGTTCATCATTTTATATATATAAATACACAATGTCCTCCCATTGTTCATCGATTTGCTCGAGCGGGCGCAGTAAAGTCTCCATTTTTTGAGACTGTTGTTACTGTGTTTGGCACATCGAATACGTCACGGGTAGCTTGTCAGGCTTTGCCATGCGGGCGAGATACTCTCGGTAGCTTGCGGGGCTCTTCGAGAGGGGCAGAGAAATCAAACCCAGCTCGGCTGGGTGGCTGTGCGCAAGGCAAACGCCCTACAGATGTGCTATTGCTCCAGCCCTTTATATATATATATATACACACACACACACACACACACACACACACTTTAAAATATACATAAAGAATTCTAGAGTTAAAACATACAATTGAATGGCAGACCACTAGAGGGCAAGAGCAGAGAATATAAAACTTTTTAAGTTAGAATTCACACGCTCAAAGTTTCTGGAATAAAGTCAGGAGAAAAAAAACTGAAAGAGAGAAGGAAAGAGACTCTGCAGATACTATCACATCAAGCAATAAGCATTTTATGGAATTTACAACGGGGTGGGGGATGGGAATGCACATAGAGCTCATGTGAAAAAATGATGACCCAAAATTCCCCTAAACCTAATATAGACGTCCACATCCAGAAGCTCAAGATCTCCAACCAGGATGAATCCAAGAAGACCGTATCAAGTCCCAGTATAAATAAATAATCAAAGAATGTCTAAGTGGGTCTGTGGAAGGCAGTGAGAGAAGTAACTGGTCAGGGATGTGGGAATCCACATCTTTTAGAACTCTGGTAGAACTCTGGTAGAGCAGAAAGGAATGACACCACACCTGCAGAGGGCTGAAATTTAAAAACTGTCAATCAAGAATCTTATATTCAGTGCCCGAGGGACAGTGGTTAAGGCACAAAGCTGGCCAGGATTCCATCCCCTGCATCCCACAGGGCCCATCCCCTCTCCCACAACCACCACCACCACCACCACCAAGAGTAATTTCTGAGTAATTCCAGGAGTAAACCCTGAGCACCTCTAGGCATGACCTCAAAACAACAAAAAGAAGGAATCTTATATTCAGAAAAGATGTCTTTCAAGAAGACAATTGGAGAGGTGAAATAAAACCTCCCAAAGTAAACAAAAATGATCTATTAAGCACTATAAGCTAAAGTACTATGCACTAGGCTAAATGAATCCTACAAGTAGAAACAAAAATAACATTCATTCAAATATAACTGACATCTACAGGATATGTACAAGTTACTGATTCAAGTAGGCAGATACAATAGGCTGTTTACTATACAAAGATGTTCAATTAAGAATAAAATTAAACATGAACATAAACAAATGTAACTAAAAACAGTGAACAAAAATTATCTAGCCCCAAAATGACACTGGTAACAAAACACTTGAAGCAAAAGTGTAAATAATCTAATTTTTAATGTACAACTGAAGTTACACTGTTATCTTAAGTTGTAACTAGAAGATGTTTATAAGATTGCATGTTAAGTGTGTGTGTACCCATGTGCACAAGGCAGGGCAGGGGAGTACAAGTGCTAAGGCTGAACCCAGTTCAATTCCGGCACCGCCTAGAGTGAACCCTGAACAGAGAACCAAGAATTTACACTGAGGACAGTCAGATGTGGCCCCCAAACACCCCGCTCCTTAGGCCAAAGACACCATACAGTGGGGGAGTACGTTTGCCTTCCACCTTCCTCGTAACTGTCCTGGGTTCCATTCCTGGCATCCCATATACCCTCTTAGTACTGCCAGTGCAGAGCCAGCAATAACTCCTGAGCATCGCAGGGTATGGCCAAAAAAAAGGAAAAGGGACAGCATGCTTAAGATCAATACCACCTTTTCAATAAAAATAAAATATAAATAGACAATTTGGGTTAAAAAAAAAAAGCCCCATACCACCTGAACAGAAACTGTCAAGATAAACAAAGAAGGTAGGAGAATAAAAAACATCAATGCACCACGAAATAAACTGCAAACTTATTATATATGATAGCAATTTTAAGTAGATATGTACATTAATATCGGAGCATCCAAATATAGGAGAAGCAAACCACTGGGAGAACTGAGGGCGGAAGGTAGTCAACTGTCCTAGATCTGCAGTGAACATGAGGAGAGATCAACAGGGCGTGCAGATAGCGTTTGAACACACACATACAGCAGAGCAGACACTACATTAGCACTGGCAGAAGACTCACACAAGGTCACACAACAAGTCTGAACACAGTCACAAAGATTCAAGTCAAAATGCATCTTTTCCCCTGTAACAAAGCGCTAGAAATCAAGAGTAGCCTTGATTTCCAAATCAAGGAAAGACTTGAAAATGCACATCCATAGATGTCACAAAGTGTGCTTCAAATTGTGCTTTCAAGTTGTGTTTATTAGACACAAAAACAAAAAGCACAAAAACAAAACAAAGGTAACAAGCTATTTTTAGAGACAGCAGGTAGTACAAGCAGGGCACATGCAGGGCACTTTCATTTCCTCGAAAGCAGAAAGCACTGCCTCTTTCCACTTCCTGCCAAAAGGACCATCCTTTGTGATCCAAAGCCCGGCGACCCTACAGTAGCTCGACCTAGACTTAACCATCAAGCACAGGGCCTCGCACACGCCAGACTAAATTCTCCAATCATACATTAATGAAGAGAAAAAACAGGGACAGAGAGAAGTCTTTAGGACTTGATAAAAACCTAAGGCAAACAAGAGGGGGCAGAGCTACAGCACAGCGGGGAGGGAGGGTGCTTGCCTTGCACGCGGCTGCAAGCAGAAAGTAAGAGTTACGTGGGTTCCATCTCCAGCATCACACATGGTCCCCTGCACCCAACCAGGAGTGATCCCTGAGAACTGGGCTAGGAGAAGATATCGCCTGACCAGTGCTGGTGGGGCCCAAAACCCCAAACAATGAATAATCAAGAAAAACAAGAGCTTCTGGTGGAAACAATTTCTGCAAAGTGAGGAAAGCTGGCTCCTGGAGACTTCACAGAGGGCCTTTCTCCAGGCCGACCACGTCCTCACAGCCCTGCACGAAGAGCCCAGCACGGCCGCGGTCAGGCCTTCTTACCTGGTTCCGGAGTGAGACTGGGAATCGCTGGCTCCGGCTCCTTCTCCGGTTCCTCCCCACAGGTCCTAGACTTTTCACACACGTTCAAGCTTGGCCCAACGACATCCTGGTGGCCAGCAGGGCTGGGCTCAGCCAGGGCCTCCTCTAGGACGGTCCCAGCAGGAGGAGGGGAAGGTGTCGGTTCCAGACACTCACCCTCCTTCTTCGCGGGGTCAGCAGGAAGCGTGACCCCAAAGGTGCCCTCCAAGTTCTCTTTCTCCCTGAATCTGTTGGTGCGCTTCCGAGGCTTGGTGCGCCTTTGGTTGACCCTCTGCCACCGTTTTTTCGGCACGGCCGGATTGATGCTACTGGGCTCCTCGTTCTCGCTGTTCAGTCCAGAGTCAAGCTCCAGGCCATTTTTGTTGTCAAAAGAGGGGCCCTTCTGGGAATCTGTCTTAGGGTCCGAAAGTTTGGCCTGGCTATCAAGGTGAACATCGGGAAAGCGGGGAGCATCTTCGCTGGGAAGCGCGCCCACCAACGAAAGGGGGTCTCCCTCGATGGGGGGTCCCGCCCTGTCCCGCGAGCAGCCATCCCCAGGAGCCCCCCCACTCTCACTCTCGCTGTCCCCCTGCAGCACAGCCCCCAGAGTCCCAGCAGAAAGGTGGTTCGGTTTTCTCTTGCGTTCTGTCTTTAAGGCTTTACGGTTTGCGGTGTTTTTCCCCACCTGGGGGGCAAAACCATCTCGCAGTTTGGAGGCCAGCTTCGCGCGCCCACAGTTGCGCCTAGGAACACAGTTCGGCTGAGTTTTCCCAGGAGCAGGGAGGTCTCTTCTGTCGGCGGCGGAGCCAGGGAGGGGGGCAGGCGGCTCCCTGGTCAGTGAGGAGTCAGGGACCGGGCCAGGCCGGGTCCGGTCCTGAGGGCCGTCTGCTTTCTTTTCTGAATTCTGCGTGGAGCTTCCAGAAACCAAAACCTTAGAGGCACCCATGGGGCTACTGGTGGAGCAGTCCCCCATCGCCGGGCTCCGGTAGGAGACCAGGTTTTGAGCCGTCATCAGCCGCTGCTCCTTAGTCTTACTATCGTGCATGTCCTTCAGCATCATGAGCAAGGTGCTGAACTTGTAGTCTGGCTCGATGGGAATATGGTTCTGGCCCGAGGAAGAAAACAGTAGTGGTTTGGAAGGCCTGGCGGCAGCGGAGTCACCACCATCCTCACTGAGAGACCGGTAGGAGAGCTCCTTCAACTCAGACAGCACGTGCTTCACCACGGCCGTCTCGATGTCACTGGAATCCCTGGTTTTCTCGTGCATGTTGCTCAGTAGTTTCAGCCCGTCCACCTTCCCACTTTTGGAAATGCCGGCCAAAGGCGGACCTTTGGCATCAGAAGAGCAGTATTTCAAACCACAGTCTTCGTGCGCAACGGGCGCTTCGGCCATGCCAGGGCTTTCTTTATGTTTGCACTTAATACTCCGGATCTTGGACTGTTTGCTTCTCGGAAGGACCAAGGCTTGATTTGTGGGCCCACTCTTCAGGAGGGTGTTCTCACTTGACAGGCCAGAGGGTGTGCTGAATTTGGGCAGGAGACTGTCATTTCGAGGATCCGACTGGGGTTTATGGACAATAGTGCACAACTGAAGGTCGGTGAGGTTAACCTGAGCTGTCTCGGTTCTAGGCTCTGCGGGCTTAGGACAGTCTGTTAAGTGGTCTGTGTGTGAGTTCGAAATGAGGGGCTTCGGCTTGGCTTTTGCCTTAGTGTTTGTGGCAGGAAACCTGGAATACTTCACCTTGTCATTCTTCTGCATGGAGAGCAAGTTCTCCGTGTGGTCGAAAGTGTCTGTGATTTCCAGGACCCCGGGGTCTGACTCAGAGCTGGGGTCGATGGGGTCCACGTCGCTGCTTCCGTCGTCGGATGTGGTGCAGACACTGATGGAGTCGCTGCGCTTCTCTTCATCCCCGGCGCCAATGTAGCAGAGCTGCACTTTGGAACTGCACATGAGGCCGCGCTGCAGCGGCTGCTGCTTCTCCCCAGGCCGTTTTGGCACCAAGGCACCCTCGGGCAAGCCCAACAAAGAGTCGCAGGTGGCAGTCTCGCAATCTTTCTTGATGGGCGTTTTGCCACACGAAGAAAAGAGAAAGCCTCCTGGGGAAGGGGCAGCCCCAGCCAGGCTGCTTGCTATCCGGGACAGCTCACTCGAGGCCTGCTTCTCAGACACGTCCCCAGGAAGGAAGTTGAGGCTAAGTTTGTCGGGGATCTTGCCCCTGCGTTCGTCTTTGTGCGCGTCGAACTGCATGGGGTCCTTCTTCACACTGATCCTCTTGGGAGGCTCCGAGCTCTTCCGGACTCTAGACTTGGCACAAGGCTTTTCCTTCTCGTCTGCCGAATGTTCAGAGTCAAAAGCCAAAGATTTCAAGCAGCCATTAAGCAACAGATCATGTTCGGATTCAGGATCATTCGCACAGTCCTCAAATGGCATATCCTCCTCACTGTCCAACTTGATAGAGCTGGTGACACATTTTCGGTTCTTTGACCCTTTGGGAACATCATACTGCTCAGCAAGACCAACACTAGCTTCCCATTTACTCAAAATTTTCTGAGGAACCTTGAATTTAAAGGAGAAAAACATTATCAGTTATCAAAGAAAACAGCTGGGGCACAGTAGCTGATCGGTGAATGCCTCTCAAATGAGGTTTTCCCAAGCCTCTAGTACCCCACATCTAAGGGACTGGCCCCAGGACTTTGCACCCACAGCTCACCCAGAGCATAAACTCAAGGGCATATCCCAACACAATACTGCTAAATGTCATCAACATCACGTTATTGAATTGAATGCAAGCAAGAAAGACTCAGGCCTGGGAGGCAGTTCAGCGGTTAGGGTGCATATCTAAATAGGTCCCCAACCCACATCTGTTCCCAGGCACCACACTGTCCCCTAAGCACTGGGAGTCAGGGTGACAGGCCATTCTGAGTACCATAGAGCCCAGGAGACAAGGCATCCTTGGTCCTTGGCTTAGATGGGAACTATCAGTGCCTATGAACTTTCTGAATGCTGCTTGAGGGGAGATAAATGAATCAACAGAAAAAGAGGTAAGTAAACAAACTGATAAATCAACAAATACAGAACAGACTCCCAACTTACCCCTCCGTATCTAAGACAGACTTCTTCAAGGCATAGGAAGGCCACTAACTTATTCTGATACCTTAAAAAGCAGGCATGGCTAAAGACATGTGTGGAAAAGCTGGGACTGTCTATGCCTCTGACTAAATCTGAACCACTAGTTCACTAGGTCCCTGATTAATCACGATGCTTCGACACAAGTCACTCACACTCTGGATTATAATCAACCACTCTCCAGGGCTGAATTCCATATAGCCAGAGATAGCCAGACACATCAGGCAGGGCCCTGTACACACTGTACTCCTTTCTGGGCTCCTCTAAGCATAAGAACCCTGCAGCTCAGTAAAATGTCTCCAACTCTTTCAACTCTTATTTCCCAACTTGATTTCATTTCTAGATATCAGTTCATCTTCGTAAATATTTTAATACTCATAAAAAGGAAGTTCTACTGAGTATGAAAAATTCATGTCATTAAGCAAGTCAGCCTCCACATCTAAAGCACAAACCAACTACCTGATTGACACTGCACACACAAAGGCACATGCTCCCGTGCTGTGAGCAGAAGAAATCAATCTTCCAGAACTTGAATGCTCTGGTCAGCCCTCAAAAACAGGGGTTGGCTTTAGTCTAAACAGCTAAAGCAGGCAGACATCATTTGCCACCCCAAGGCAGCAGCGACAGGCATTCCGGAGAGCCTTTCATTTACAGTCCTCACACCACTCTACAAGGTCCACATCATCAGACCACCACAGTCCTCAGAGAACTCAAGGCAGGAGCACTTATACACAGGAAGGTGAGACGACAGTGGCAGGCCAGGGAGGCAGCTCAGCGGCACAGTGAACCTGCCGAAAGGAGTGAGGCACCCGCCACAGCCCCCACTACCACCGACAGTCCTAAGTGCCCAATAGTTCCTCTTCTGGAGCAGATTATGAAGGAACAGCAAAAAATTCCAAACACTGAGTCAGCGTTTCCCAGTTCTGTTCAAGGGAAGAGTATTTGCACATTACTAAAATATGGCCTGGTGTCACCAGAGAGATAGTATAAGGAGGGAGTGCTAGGATCAAGCCTAGTTCCAATCTCGAACCACGTACCAGTGCTCAACACTGCTAGGAATGACCACTGAGCCAGGAGACAATCTTGAGCACCGTTGGGTGTAGCCAAAATCCCTCACCCCCAAAAATGGATAGCAAAAAGGTTTTCCCACCTAGTACCACCAAGTGCAGCTGTGAGGGCCCGAGGACCGTGGTGTGACTCAAGTATCCCGGCCCCTACCACATTCTCAAGCCCTTGAACAGGACAGCACAATGAATTGCCCAGCCTCCTGAGCACTGCCTCCCCTTACAAAATACAACCAGGCTGAATGCATCATCCTTAGGCACACAAACCAAGACAAGAAGAGCAAAACCATTTAACACTGATCACAGCTGGTGGTGCTCAGATATTACTCCTGGCCCAGTGCTTAGAGGTTGCTCAAGCAATAGTGCGCCACCAAGGATGAAGCTGCATCTCTGGCATGCAAAATTTCTCCACTCCCCATCTATCTCGTTTCAAAAAGCAGTATTTGGGACCCTCCAGAGAAATTGAATAGAGGGAAAGGCACTTGACTAGTATGTAGCTAGATGGATCCCCAGCACTGCATCCTCTGAGGACAGACAAGGATCACTCCTCAGCAAGTGCCAAGAGTAGCCCTTGACCGCCACTGGCCCACGAACAACAAAAGGCTTTCTATTTTCTCACATACATGAAATATACTCACCACTTACATATACCCCACAAAGAGAGAAACAACCTGTATTTCTCTTGTCTCCAGAAAGATTTTTTTTTTCTTACCTTATGCCTATAGCCTTTTTCTTTCTGCTTCCCTCTTCTTCTAAGGACAGGAAGCTCTTCAAATTGATGCCGGCCTTCAAACATGACGATTGCTTTCCCAGCCACCCAGGCCCTCTCAGAAGGGTCTCCAAAAGCCTCGACGTAGTATTGGCGATAGGGCCTCTGATTAGAAACTAGATGAAGATGAGAAGCAAATCTAAGTGTCATTACTTGAGAAGGACAGCTACTCCTCAAGAGAGCATCATACAACAGCTGCAAAGAAAGGTTTATCAAGGGAGTAGGGGGAGTTATCAATAAATGATAAAAACCTACAAATTCTGAAGTAGATCAGGAAATTTGAAATATTCCATATGGCAAGAATACACTTCAGGGTTTATGAAGTGATACACTGGTTTGGTCTGGTGATGTGCTATAACTCAAAACCAATGAACGGGAGAGACAATACAGCACGCAGGGCACTCGCCTTGCATGATACCTACCTGAGTTCAATCCCTGAGGGCAGATGAGTAGTACGGCCTGAACACAGGCAGCCGTGGCCCCTCAAAACAAAACAAATCAAAAACAACAACAACAAAATAATAACCCAGTTAAGCGGTTTGTTTAGTTCCTCATAGAACAAACCGCTGTCAATTGACTCAGTATTGACTAATAAAGCACTGGGCACTGCCAGGTGTGGCCCAAAACCTGTGGGGGATAGGGGTGATTAAATGCTCAACTACAAGGAGATCTCGAGAGCCTGCAGAGCACCCTCAACCAGGTCTCTCTGATGTGCTAACTCTCATTGCCCAGAGCTCCATACACATAGAGAGGCTGGGTCCTTATTAGCATGCTACCCACCCACCCAAGAAATAAATAACATAATTCCCCTTCTGAAGTTCAATGACTCCAAAGGGAGCAAATTCAGGGTAAAACACTGACTTCACAGACAAAGCAGAACTTGGTATTTAAAAATAAGGAGGGAGAGAAAGAAAGAAATCTAAACATAATAAAAACAAAATCTAGTTATTCGAATTTTTGCTTTAGCAAAGTCTATTTTTTAATAAATATCAATTATAGAGACAACATATATCTCAGTCAGAAGAGATTATAATAAAATTTATCTAGTACACATACCTTCCATACACTTACTATTTTTCATACCAGAAAAAAAAAAGTTATACAGTAAATAATCAGGACCTCAGAGAGTGCAACAGCCTAAAAAACATGATGCATGGAAGAAGCCCAGGGTCAATCCAGATGGCATCTTAAGCACTGAGAGGAGAAACCCTGAGCACCAAACAGGAGCAGCCCCTGAATACAGCTAGTTAGGGAAGGGAAGGGGGAGGGGAGGGATTTGGAGAGGAGAAGGAAGGGTATGGGACGGAAGAGAAGGGGCAGGCATGGAGAAGAGAGGAGAGAGATTGAGAGGGAATGAGGGTGCCCTATGTATCCCATACAGTCCCCCCAGAACTCCAGGAAGTAATCCCTGAGCAGTCTTAAGCACTGCTGTAGTCCAGCTCTCTCCCCCAAAACCCGTCCCCTCCCCTCCAAAAAGTGCCATTTATCTCTTTTCAGAAAAGTAACATTATCTTACATAAAATTACATTAAGAAAAAAAAATCAGGAGCTGGAGCGATAGCACAGCAGGTAGGGCATTTGCCTTGCACACAGCTGACCCAGGTTCGATTCCCAGCATACCATATGGTCCCCTAGGCACTGCCAGGAGTAATTCCTGAGTGCAGAGCCAGGAGTAACCCCTGTGGATTGTCAGGTGTGACCCAAAAAGAAAAAAAAAAACACAAATCACATCTAGGGGTCAGAGAGACAGTACAGTGGTACAGTGGACAGGGTGCTTCCAAACCAGATTTGATTCCAGACAACAAATATGGTTCCTGAACAACAGCTGGCTATGGCACCAAAATCAAGACAAAAAAAAAAAGTTGTCACATCTGATTACAACAATATCCCTACTTCAAAATATACATACAGGGGCTGGGCTGGAGCAATAGCACAGCGGGTAGGGCGTTTGCCTTGCATATGGCTGACTTGGGTTCAATTCCCAGCATCCCATATGGTTCCCTGAGCACTGCCAGGGGTGATTCCTGAGCGCAGAGCCAGGAGTAACCCCTGTGCATCACCAGGTGTGACCCAAAAAGGAAAAAAAAAAAAAACATACAAAATTCAGGGTAATAGTGCAGTGGGCAGGACGTCTGTCTTGCATGCAGTCAACCCAGGCTCAATCCCGGGCATTCCACATGGTCCCTGGAGCCCTCCAGCAATGATCCCTGAGCAGAGCCATAAGTAAGCCCTGAGCACAGCTGGGTATGCCTCCCCCAGCCTCTCAAAAAGACCCAGCACCAGTCTCTATGCATCTCTTTAAGCCAAAAAAAAAATAATAATAATAAATAAATAAATAAATATGCAAGTTCTAATAAGAACTCCTTACTTTCTATTAAATTACATATGTGCTCTCTCTCTCACTCACTCTCTCTCTCTCACACACACTTACACACCTCTATATATAGTGGTGTTATACATAACCACCACTATTTCTCCAGTCCCTATAAAGGTTCTTAAAGTTAATTCTTAAAAATTCTCAAAGATTCTTAAATCTTAAAGATCCTTAAAAGTTTTTTATTTAGCCTTAAATATTCTTTATTCCTGCAGCTGAAGAAATAGTACAGCGGGCAGGGAGCTAGCCTTGCAAGCAGACAACCCAGTCCCATCTCAGTCATACCATATGATTCCCCTAAAAATCACCCAGTGTGATATAACAAGTAACAAATATAAACAAACAAAAAAGGTTCTTAATTCTTAACAGTTCTTAAGTCAATTCATACAACAATAATTGGTCACCTTAGATGAGCCCACACACAACAGAAGACTGGAAAGCTACCAGCACTGGTGACCGATCCAGCGCACAATAAAAGAGCATGGTAAGGGGTCGGAACAATAATACAGGGGATGGGTAGGGCATTTGCTTTGCATGCAGTCAAGCTGGGTTCAATTCCTGACATCCCATTTGGTCACCCCAGCACCACCAGAAGAGCCAGAAGTAACCCCTGAGCATCACCAGGTGTGACCCAAAAAGCAACCTTCCCCCCCAAAAAAGCATGATAATGGCAATAACACTTAAAAAAAAAAAGAGGAAATAATCAGAGACCAATTAGGTGCCTGAATTCGTAAAAGTTAACTTCAATTTAAGAGGAGAAATTGAGTATAAAGGTTAGTTATACCCTTCAAAGACATCAACAACTAGAAGCTATAAATTCCGAACACTGCATTATAAAGCAGGAGCAGAGGGAACAAACTGAGCCAGGTAAGCAAAAGGCAGAACTGCAAGAGACAGGGTGAGGATTCAAGAATTTGGCCTTTACTTCGCTGGTGGTTGAGGAAAAGTGGGGTAAACAGGGGAGTCACAGGCTCGGCTGTGCATCTGAGAAAGATAACGTTCCTTGACTACTGAATAGAACTGTTGAGGAGGAAACGAAACTGAGTAGACCCGAGATCACATAAAATAGCATACACGCGCGCGCGCGCGCGCGCGCGCACGCACACGAAGACTACAGCACAAACCAAGGCAACTGGAATGATAGGTAATTCACTGTCACTGTCCTCCTGTTGTTCATCGATTTTTCTCGAGCGGGCCCAGTAACGTCTCCATTGTGAGACTTTGTTGTTACTGTGTTTGGCATATCGAATACACCACGGGGAGCTTGCCAGGCTTTGCCGTGTGGGCGAGATACTCTCGGTAGCTTGCCGGGCTCTCCGAGAGGGGCGGAGGAATTTAACTCAAGTTGGCCACGTTGGCTGCGTGCAAGGCAAACGCCCTACCCGCTGTGCTATCACTCCAGCCCTTGGTAGGTAATTAAAATTACAAAAATAAATTAGGGGCAGGGATGCTCACACCTGAGTCTCAAGCCTTACTCCTGGCACTGTGCTCTTTGGATCTTACGGAATGACTGGGTCAGCTGTATGCAGGGTACTGTATTTCAACCAGCACACACACACAAAAAAAAACAAAAATTTGAGGGGACAGAGGTAGCTCAATTCCTTTCTTCTAATAAATGAAATCAACTATGTCAAAGTAACACCGTTAGGGATGGAGTGATAGTACAGTTGGTTGGGCGTTTGCCTGGTATGCAGCTGACCCAGGTTCAATCCCCACCATCCCATATGGTCTCCTGAGCACTACCAGGAATAATTCGTGAGTTCTTGCAAAGCCAGGAGTAACCCCTGTGCATCGCCCAGTGTGACCCAAAAAAAAAAAAAGTCACACTGTTTCGCCCGATACCAGGTATTCTTTTTTCTTCTTTTGAGCAACTGTTGAGATAAAACTGGAGAGTAGGGGGGCGTGCTGCCAGTGATGGTATAGCAGGAAGGACATTCGCCTTGCATGCAGCCAATCACAGTTCAATTCCTAGCACCCCCATACAGTCTCTGAGCCCATCAGAACGATCCTTCAGCTTAGATGAGCTTAGAGAGGGCTGGAGCGATAGCACAGCGGTAGGGCGTTCGCCTTACAAGCGGCCGACCCGAGTTCGATTCCTCCGCCCCTCTCGGAGAGCCCGGCAAGTTACCGAGAGTATTCGATATGCCAGACACAGTAACAACAAAGTCTCCAATGGAGACGTTACTGGGCCTGCTCGAGCAAATCGATGATCAACGGGAGGGCCTTTACCTTTACCTTTTAGAGCAGGAATAAACCCTGAGCATAGCCTGGTGTGACCCCAAAAAAAAAAAAGTGGTGGTGGGAGTGAGGGTACAGCAGGTAGGGAGGTAGGGTGCTTGTTTTGCATACAAATGACCAGGTTCAAGCCCATACTGACCAGATATGATGCCCTGAGCCCACTGTGATCCCTCAACATAGAACCTCCAGGAGTAAGCTTCGAGCACTGCTGAATGTGACCAAAAAAGAAAAAAAAATATTCATTCACTCCTCTGAATACGAATCTCTTGAAATGATATTCCAATGTTTTAGTATATTCACAATTACATAACCACAATCAACTTTATAACACAAATTTATTATTTAAAAAAAAACACACTCCTTAACCCACCTTCTTCTCAAGAAACCAAACACCTACTTTGTCTCTAGAAAGAAACCCATCTCTATAGGGACATTTCACAAAAATGGAATTGGGCGGCGGGAGGGGGAGCACAGAGATAGATGGATTTGTGATGAACACAGCTGACCCAGCTTTGATCCCAGGCACCCAATATGGTCCTCCAAGCCTCGACTCAAGTGATCCCTGAACACAGACCAGAAACCTAACCCCCGCACACACACCCAAAGACAACTTTCTAACAAAAATAATTTAGACCCACATCCCACAGCGGCCACCATACATGCAACTCAACTTCAATGTTTCCAACAACTCTGAAGAAATGCTAAGCCAATGAAACTTGCAGATACACAGATGCTGAAGCTCCTGAAACACCTCCAAATTCTACAATACTGACAGCCATATAGGGGCCCAGCAAATTACACAGGAAAGCAGCAAAGAAGTCAGTTATACTTAATAAATGAAAACAATAACACAGAGGCTCAGCTAGCAAAAAAAAAAAAAGCTGAGTAAATCATCGGGCAATGATTTTAGTAACTCCACTGTGAGATACAACAATTTTCAAACTTTCTTTTACTGAACTATTATTCCATTTATTATTTCATTGTTAACAAACAATATAAAATATTTTGTGCCTGTCAAGAAGTCAGGCTTGGGGATTAGGTGGGAAACCGGGGACAATCGTGGAGGGAAGATCACGCTGGTGGTGGGGTTGGTGTTGGGACAATTAAATGCCTGAAACAGCTATATCATGAACAACTTTGTAAACCAGGGTGTCTTAAACAATTGAAATAAAGCAAGTTAGAGGCTAGAGCGACAATACAGAAGTTAAGATTCTTACTTTATGTCTTCTCCAACCGCAGTTTGACTCCCCAACACTGCAATGACCCCAGCAGCGCCAGAGGTGACTCCTGAGCACAGCCACAGTCAGTCTGAGGCCCTGAGCACCACTTCAGTGTGCCCCAAAATACAAAAAATGAAAGTGTGGAAACAACTGTTTCTTCTTCCTTCAGTTATTATTTCATGCCAACAGGGGCTACAGACTCTGGCATTTGACCCTGCTATAGCATGGTTCCCCCAACACCACTGGAAATAGTCCTTGAGCACTGCCCAGTGTGGCCCAAAAAAAAACAAAATTTGAAATAAATAGCTGGAGTAATATTGCCCTGCACAATGCCAACTCAGGTCTGACCCCCAATACCCACTATGATCTCCTGAAGTAAGCAATTCTTTTTCTTTTGGGAACTGCTGGGTATGGCCCAAAATTTTATTTTAAAAGTTTAAGACAAAATACAAACACACTGGGGCTGGAGCGCTAGCAAAGCGGGTAGGGCATTTGGCCTGCATGTGACCGACCCAGGTTCGATTCCAGCATCCCATATGGTAACCCAAGCACTGCCAGAAGTAATTCCTGAGTGAAGAGCCAGGAGTAACCCCTGTGCATCACCAGGTGTGACCCAAAAAAGAAAAATAAAAATACAAACACACAACAATCGATATATTCTAAAACTTCAGACTATGCATCTGAATAATAATCTTGCTAACAATTCTATTCACAAAAGTCAAAAGCTAGAGATAACACACGTGACCTACATATACAATGGAGTATTACCTGAGTCTAAAAACACAACTGAAATACTGACAATGAATACAACATAAAAAAAGTTCTTAAATACATTCTAAGTGAATGTTTTGACTATTCTAGATGGTCTAGAATGTCAAATTCAAAGAGAAAGTCCCACAAGTGGGTGAGGGGGCACAAGGTACATGGTGCCAACCCTCACAGGTCCTAATTAACTGTGATTTTAAGCAAAATGGCACAGAAGGAAACAGGTCCTTAAATAACATGGCTTCATTCCGACTCCAACACGGCCGCACTATTCAGTCGAAGAAAGAGTGCCTCACTAATACACAGTTAGGTCTTTAAAATACTCTATGAAATGCAAGAGGCAAGGTCAAAGGACCACACAGGCTCCATTTACAGGGCTCAGGGTACAGAAAGCTGTCAAGAGTCTGACCCGGGCACCACCCCCGAGTGTGCTGAGCCTAAGTCCCAGACACAATGTATCACTGTGCACCATCATTGTGCACCAACATCAAAGGGAAGAGGAAAAGGAATCTTATTTAAAATGTCCCCAACAGGCTTCTAGCTAGAGACAAAAAGTAGATAAGTTAGCTGAAAGTGTGAGATTTCTTTGGGGTATAAAAACAATTTAAAAAAAAATTTCTAAAATTGTGGTTGTGTAACTGGATAGACTAAAACATCAGAATTGCATACCACAAAGGGTTGGGATAATGTGAATTTTATATCAACAAAGTTGTATACACACACACATACACACCCAGATACACAAAGGGCTGGGGGAATTGGGGCTGGAAAGAGAGTATAACAGGTAAGGCACTGTTTTACACATAGCCAACCCAAGTTTGTTCCCCAGAAACCCATGTGGCTCCCCAAGAATAAGTCCCAAGTGCAGAGCCAGGAGCAACCCCAGAGTATCACTGGGTATAACCCAAAAACCAAAAAAGAAGAAAGGAAAAAAAAGGCTTGGTGTAGAGCACAAGGAGGAAGTTAAAAAGAAGAAGAAGGAAGTAAAGTGTGAATTCAAGGTATCTGGTCTGAGTCACTGGTGGAAATTGAAGGAAAAAGTACTGGTTTGAGGAGGAAAATTATTTCAGTTTTACACAAGCTGATCTCAACTGCTAGGACAACACACTGATGAAGCCTCTAGCATGAGGCTGGGCCCGCTGAGCTGAACCTAGGAAACAAGATCAGGGTGGACAGGAACTGCTCGCTGAAGACAGCTCAAACCTACATTAAAGCTCATTAATCTAAAGTCTTGCAAACCTGAGGTCAGAACTGATCCCTGAAGTTGCTCAAATGAGCAGAAAAAATGACATCAAACTAAAAATAGGAAAACGTTATACTAAAAAGCAACTCTGGAAAATAAAAACACCAGACCAGGCGCTAACATTTTCCTAGTATCTATAGATAGAATAATGATCGCAGATATTTAAATCAGAGTAAAAAATAAAGCCAAATTTTACCAAAAAGAGTAAAATACATCAGATTCATTCAAGTAATTCTCAGAAGTAGAATTACTACCTATACAAAAGGTGAAGCGATCAACATTTGGCTTTACCACAGCAAATTGCAAAGCTACAATTCCATATTCTACCTTATCACCTACAATCAAATGCAGGTCTTACCTTTCATTTTTGAGTGTGTGTTCATCAATGGATCAGAACAAATTCTGCAGGGCCACCATGGGCGTCTCTTGAATTTTGCCCAAATGAGATCTCCAACTTCATACTTCAGTGGTGTAGACTTTTTCTTGGGTTGACACTTGAGACAGACAAAACATGAATCATCAGTAAGGATCAAGCTCTTTTAAAGTCTGTCACCTTTCTACTACCCTGCTGAAAAAGTAACACAAACAGAATTCCAGAAAAAAACCACTTGAGCCGAATAAATAAAAAATAAAGCTAGGGGCCAGAGTAATAGTATAGTGGGTATGGCTAACCCGAGTTTGATCGCCAGCACCCCATATGGTCCCCCAAAGCCTTTCAGGAGTGAGTCCTCAGCACAGAGTCAGGAATAAGCCCAGAGCACAAGCGTGTCCCCCCAATCCCCTTTCTCTGATAGCCATGAAAGAATGCTGAGCACTCATGGGCACTCTCAATGAAACTGAGCTGGGTGTGCCCCAGCAGCGCCCAGGGACACCTCTCAGCAGAACACAAAGGAATTAAGCTTCCTTGGATTCATCCAGTGATGAGCCCCAAGGCTGCATTCAAAACTAATGCTGAATAACCTGCAACCCAAGTGCATGCATCTCAGCTCCAAACCAATGTCCACGTGTTTAAATTCACAAACAACGCACACAGATCTTTCCTGGAGAGGATAGGTGGCTTTCTATTCAGTAAGACCAGGATTCCACAGAGAAGTTTTTAGGTGTTCTGAGATACTCCTGGCTAGTCGACACAAATACCATTTCCTACAAATGCCATGAGTTGAAAACAGCTTGGTAAGTTCCATGCTCAAGACAATCTTCTTCCCTTAATACCTAATAAAAGTATCTACCCGGCACAGACTGTTCTCAGTAGAGTGAGCTGAAGGACTGGGAAGGATATGTGAAGTAACACCCCCGGCTCATCAACACCAAAAGCTGAGTTCAACGTGATGAGATGTAAGTCAGAATCCAACGTTAGGACTCTGCTTTCAGAGAGTTCAGAGAATGTCTTTACTGAACAAAACTGTTCCATTCGCTGAGTGTGTAGTGACTAGGAAATAAATTATCAATTGTGTGTGTTTTGAGGGGTGGCTGTTAGGGATCTCATACATGCAAGACATGTTACTCAACCATTGTTCCATGCCCCATGTCCTTGTTCCCATACATTTAAAAAAAAAAAAGAAAGAGGTGCACAGATGTAGCTCAAGAGCACTCAGCCTCACATGTGTGAGGCCCTGGAGTCAATCCCTAGTACCAACACGACACCCCACCAACACAGACGAGCAATGGCAAATTCTTTGCCTATTATCAACTTGTCAAGTTATCAGGAAAAAAAAATCCTGACTTTAAAGCTACTTGGAGGACCGGAGCCATAGTACAGTGGGTAGGGTGTTTGCCTTTCACACAGCCAACCGGGGTTCAATCCCCAGCATACCATGTGGTCCTCCAAGCACTGCCAGTAGTAATTCCTAAGTGCAGTGCCTAGAGTAAACCCTGAGCATCACCAGGCGTGACCCAAAAAGAAAAAAAAATCAAAAATAAAGCTAGTTGGCTTCAAAACTTCTTAGATGCCAATACATGATTTAAAAACTTGTTTGTTTTGCTACTTTTTTAATTTGGAGGGGAGGGTCACACCTGGCCGTGTGAGGAGTTGGCCCAGAGGCCTCCACAGGCAAAGCTAAGTTCACTCCAGCACTGAGTTATCTCCCAAAGCCCAGAGAAACAACAATCTGTTTGCCTGTACTGAAAGTATATTTGGGTGGGTGCCCATATATTTCTGGCTCTAATCCATGACCATTTAATTCATTATTAAACATAAAATTTGTGTCTTCAAGTCCTAAACGATTTCAAATAACACTGCAAATAACATGTCTGTATAAAACATAGAAAGCACGAACACTCTTGGGGAGGGAGTGGTATGGAATGGCATATACATGAAACTCAGTCATAAAAAATACGATAAATCACAGTGCCTAAATTTTTAAAAAAAGAAAAGAAAAAAATCATTCATTTGACGTCTATTTCTTCATTTCTTTTTTTGGTTTTTGAACACCCAGCAGTTCAGAGCTACTACTGTCTCTGCACTCAGGGATCACTCCAGTGGGCTCAGGGGAACATAGAGGTTCTGGGAATCAAAGCCAGGTTGGGCAAGTGTAAGGCAAATGCCTTACCATTGTACTATCACTCCTGTCCTCATTTACTTGATGTCTTCTATTTTCTAGGCACAGTTCCTACTGAAGACAAATGACTGCCCGATCTGACAGTGTTGTGTAATAAGTGACAAAGCCAGGATTCAAATCTGGGTTGCCCAACTTCAGGGCCCAAACTTGAATGCTCTACCTTTATATCCAATATCAATAAAACTTCAAGTATTATATGCTTTATGAGAAAATCACTAATAATCAAGTTGTAAAAGTTTGGTTGAGTGTGTCAACCCCTCACATTCCTCAACACTGAAACTCAGGGCACTGTAAAGAACTGCCACAGGCAAAAGCCTTCAACAGACACAAGGCAGCATACGCCTGTTGGGGACAGAGCGACAGGACAGTGGGGAGGTCTTGCACACAGTCACCCCAGCTATGATCCCTGAGCAGAGAGCCCAGAGTAAGCCCTGAGCATCACAGAGTGTGGCTATCCCACGCCCCCCCACCCCCAAAAAAGACCATGCATGGTGTCCACTAAAATTTAAAGCCAAGGCCACCAATCAGACAAGTGAATAATTAATGTTCTGTTTACTGACTCCACAATCAACTGTGTCATCTTAAACAGGTAGTTAAATTGAGGCTGAAGCTGCAGGATAGTAGGTGGGTGCTTGCCTTGCGTGCAACAGACCCAGGTTCAATCCACAGCATCCTGGATCGGCCAGGAGTGATTCCTAATTGCAGAGTGAGCAGTAAGCTCTGAGCACTGCCAGGTATGGCAACAAAAATAAGAAGAGGAGAGAAAAAGAAATGAGGGATCCATGTGGTTCCTAGCACTTCTAGGAAAAATTCCCACACACATAGCCAGGAGTGAGCCCTGAGCACCAAACACCAAATTAAATAAATAATAAGAAACAAATTCACGGAGAAAAATAATGCCGAGACAAATACATCCTATTAAAGCCATTCTTAAACAAACAACACCCCAATCCAACTGATCTGAGTACAAAAAAAAAATCAGACTAATTACAGGCAGAGAATAGAACAATGGAGGGGGGGTGGGGGGGAAACTCCTGTAGGGAGTTATGACTGTTCTCTTCAGAAGAGCTTTAAAATTTTACCACAGAGGAAGTCCAGAAGTCCAGGAAGTCCAGGAGGAGCAAATGGGTGGTTCCCTGGGTTTGATCCCTGGTACCCCATGCCCCCACCCAAGAACCAACAAGTGTGCTCAAAATACAGGTGGCATGGCAAACCTGGAGTCAAGAGTTTGCGCACCAGAGTCAACCACGCCACCAGGTGAGGCCCTGGCAGCTCTGTGCTGTGGGACCCTGGGCCACAGCACAGGGAGCCATCTCAGGCACACAGCCACAGGTCTGCCAGCACCGCATCACTCAGCGGGCCCCACAGCCAAGCAGGGCAACCAAGTGTGTATGATCCCTGTCACCCAAAGAGCAACCGTGCAAGAGAAGAAAGCAGAAAATTGTTTTGGATTTTCAGTTTGGGGGCCACAGCCACCGACAGTGTTCCAGGCTTATTCCTGGAAAGCTCAGAGGGCCATATGGGGTGCCAGGGACTGAATTCTGGTCGGTGACACACAAAGGAAGTGCCTTATCCACTGTACTATCACCCCAGCCCCAAGGAAAGGAAGTCCAGAGCACTGCCAGGGATGGCCGGACCACCCACAAAAAATGAAACTCATGTAGATAACAAACAGTACTATATATTTTTAGTTATATGATGTCTATAAGCTATTATCACACTTTGAGAAAAGGCTCATTAACTCAGTCAGAGTACTTTTTAAGTCTCCGAGGCTTCACAGGCAGGGGAAGGGTTGGAATGGTGGGGGGGGGGGGGGCGGGGGGGGAATACCGGGGATTTTGTGGTGGAAAATGTGCACTGGTGAAGGGATGGGAGTTTGATCACTGTATGACTGAAATTCAAACATGAAAGCTTTGTAACTATCTCACGGTGATTCAATTAAAAAAAAAAAGACAAACACGAACAGGTCTCTCTCCCCTCAAATCTCTCTAAATTTCTATAAATAAAAAGCACTCTGCTTCACATTTTCTCCTAAGATAACTCATTTTCAACATTTGTTAACAGTGTGCAACTGCTTCTATCAAAGCCAGAGAGGAAATATTTTTAATAATGCTTTGAAATAAAAGGTAAAAAGGTAAAGGCCCTCCCGTTGATCATCGATTTGCTCGAGCGGGCCCAGTAACGTCTCCATTGGAGACTTTGTTGTTACTGTGTCTGGCATATCGAATACTCTCGGTAGCTTGCCGGGCTCTCCGAGAGGGGCGGAGGAATCGAACTCGGGTCGGCCATGTTGGCCGCTTGTAAGGCGAACGCCCTACCCGCTGTGCTATCGCTCCAGCCCAATGCTTTGAAATACCAAACATAAACACATATCTGAGTTTTTACTTTGAATTTCTACCTTTTTCTTCAGTTAAGTATCTCCTTTACTCTATGAGAAAATAGCTTCTCTATTTTACATATAAGACATCTATATTCGGGGGGCTGGAGTGATAGCACAGCGGGTAAGGCGTTTGCCTTGCACGCGGCCAACCCGGGTTCGATTCCCAGCATTCCATACGGTCCCCTGAGCACCGCCAGGAGTAACTCCTGAGTGCAGAACCAGGAGTAACCCCTGATCATCGCCAGGTGTGACCCAAAAAGCTAAAAAAAAAAAAAAAGACATCTATATTCGGATATTACATAAAATTCACAGAGCTGGGCCTTGAATATTACGAAATTTTTAGTAAAACCTCTAACAACACAGCGCAGACCAATCTTAGATTTATTACGAACCGTGTAGTCCAGAGAGCACTTTGCAGGAAGGGGAAGAAGATCACAAACAGGGACCCCTGAAGCTGTCTGCAGGCCAGTCACTGCTCAGGATCAAGTGGCTTCAGCAGCACCAACGTCTAATGCTGAGCCCAGGACACAGGCAAAGAGGAGATACTCAATCACTG